TCCAAACAATGTATAATCAATTAACGACTATTCTATTCCTAAAACAGTTAAGCAGCTTAGACGTTTCCTAGTTCTCGCTGGGTGGTATCGATGATTTGTGGATGATTATGCCACCGTCAGTTTTCCTCTCAGAGAACTTTTGAAGAAAGCTAAGTCAATTAAATTGAATGCTTCGGCTGACGAGGCGATTAAAGAGTTGTAACGTCGTTTGACGTCCGCTCCAGTCCTGGCAACACCGGATTTTTCAAAAACCATTCCTACTCATATGTGATGCTAGTACGTTCGGGCTTGGCTGTGTGCTGGCTCACAAGAGTAAATCGGGTGAAGAATTACCGATCGCCTTCATGTCTGAGAAGCTTTCAAAGGCGCAAAGAAATTACTCAGTGACCGAGTTAGAGTGCTTAACAATAATAAGAGGTATTAAGAAATTAAGAGCTTATATAGAAGAGCAAGATTTTGAGGTGACTACCGGCCATGCCTTTTTGCAATGGCTCATACGCCAGAATGATCTTACAGGTGGTTTAGCTTGATGGGCATTAAAATTGCAAGGCTTCTCGATTAAGATAACCCATAGAAAGATTCCTTAAATGTAGTAGCCGAAGCTTTTTCTCGACAAAGTGAGTCAGGAGTAGCCGAATTATGCGATCAAGGGCCAATTGTAGATGTTAACTCAGAAGAATTAATGTCACCAGATCATGTTAACCTTCTAGATACGATACGTGATAATCAAGTTAAGTTTCCCGATTTAAAGATCCGGGATGATATTGTCTATAAAAGAACAAAGCCAGCAATTGGGAATGTTGCACTGGATAGAATGGCCTGGAAGCTATGGATACCATCCACACTAACGCAACATATCATTAGTAGGGCACACGGTATAGATAAGACTTTAGATAGAATTAAGAGATACATTTTTTGGCCGAAGATGGTGACCCAAATACGGGAATATGTATCGGGAATATGTATATGTTGGAAAACAAAGAACCAAAATATTGTTCTAAGACCAACTATGGGTAGGCCAATGAGCTCAAAACGTCCATTTCAGAAATATAGGACTTTTGGTTATAGTCGACCATCACACGAAATTCCATTTCCTATGGCCTCTTAAAAAGTTCACCTCCATCACAATTTGTGATTACCTAGAAAATACCCTATTTTGCATTCTCTATTACCTGAGAAAATTTTAACCGATAATGGAACTCAATTTGTTTCGGGAGTATTTAAGGCTTTTCTATTCGCCCCAAGCGAATGCAAGCGAGAGACTAAAACGATCGATACTTGCATATTTATATACTATACGTTCATACATAGGGCAATACCATTCTAATTGGGATCTTAAACTTCCAGAAATAAGCACAGCGCTAAGAGCTAGTGTGCATCAAAGCACTGGGTTTGATCCGTTCTTTTTGGCATTTGGTAAGAACATGGTTCTTCATGGCACATACGAGTTACTACGTCGATTACAATTATGTAATGAAGATACTAAAATTGAGCATCCCAATGTTATTCAAACTATTCTTGAATTCGTGGCACTGCGAAAGATGGCCGAGTCGCATCAAAAAAACGCTAACAGGTACAATTTGCGTAGTCGGGTGTACTGCTTAATATCGGAGATAAGGTATTCGAACGCAACTTTTGCCAGAGTAATGCTGCTAAAAAATGTAGTGTGAAGCTAGCTCTATTTGTTGTACCTGCTCTGGTAACTCGAAAAGTTGGTTCGTCATATTATCAGTTGTCAAATGAACAAGGAAAAGTCATAGGGGTGTTTCATCTTAAAGACATACAAATCAAATCTTAGAAAACTGCCTGTTTTCAGTTAACGCCTCGCTATTAAAACTAGCGTTTCATTAATTGTGTTGTAGTGGACAATTTTTAGGTACTGAGCAAACATAGAACACAAAGGTACTTTTGAACATATGGTTCTAAAACTGGAAGCTCTTGTTGCAGAGAGAAGTTCAGTCGTTCAGATTAGGCTGAGTGCATATCAAACGTGCAATTATGCTCTATACCGATAAGCACTTGTGAAGGTAAATAGAGTAAGTCGAGCTTTATTCAAAGCTTTACTGAAAGCTTTCGCTAAGAGCGCGGCGCCCAAAATTTTATCTAATCGCTGGCATTTAGGTTTCGCATTCTCTGATAATGTCATGAGCGAGCATTGGTGCTGTTTCGTATGATGATGCAGTTATTCGACTGGAAAAGGCGTCCGTTAGGTCTGCTCAGTAGAAGAGGACAGCGATGGCGTCAAGGAATTTACTGGAAGCGACATGCGCCGCTAAGCAACTAAATTATGGTGGTATGTTATTGTTTCGAAGTGACTCGAGATCAGATGACGTATTACTTGTGTACTGGTTAAGAGAAAAATAGAAAAGAAAAAGTACAGTCTACACCTAAAGTTTGTTCACTATTGCTATACATAATTTTGTGGCCTACATTGGAAAAAAAGTGTTTTGGCTGGGGAGAAAAAGTATGATTATCATCCATAATAGTGCCTCGATTATAATTAGTTCTGGTTCCATAGGATACGCTGTGAAGAAATTGGATTTTCATCAATTGCGGGGGCAGCGGGTACAATTACCGGTAGTCATCCGGTTGGTGCACTATCCGAAGAAGAGTTACGGACATTGGCGGGTGCACCGGGAAGTTCTCCGGTTATCCCAATCCGGGATAAAGAGCTCGACCTATCCTTAACCTCCAAAGAAAAGAAAAGCAAAGGAACATCCTCATGTCAACTTAAACCCCGACGATATTAATATAATATAGTGAAAAGGAACTAACTCAAAAAAATTCCAAAATGTTTTAGCATGATCGATTCACGTAGTGGTCCACTGGCTGTGTCGTTTAGAACTTTCATCAATGTTCACCAATGCATCAAAGCCAAGTTTTGAAACTTGCCAATTAATTGCATCAGGTGATCAGGTTGAATATCGAATACCCTGAGAAAGAGAGCTTGTTCGCAACTTCTATCTCATTACGGCATTTCTTTGTTATTCGAAGACTTTGGAACTGTTTCTGTGTAAATCTAACGAAGTCCGTGCTTTATTGTCGGTTTTTTATTTCTTTGTTTCTCTAACATTTATTTAATTAATATCGCAACGGATTGACATAGAGTGGGTATCAAAAAAAAAAAGTAAAAAAAAAATGAATTTCAATTGAAATATTCTCAGTCGGCATGGTGTATATTTAATGTCTCTGCATTTCCACAGATTTGCAACAACAATATGAGTATCAGCGTACCACCGTCATCCTTGAGCTCAACGATGCGGAACATTTTATAACACACTAACTCGCGCCTACGAAACTATGGTAAAGTACTTTATATATAAACAACGTAAATATATCCATGCTCGCCGATACGATATTATACTCTAAACAAAACCCACTCTGTGACTTCGGTCTAAATAATCCTATATAAATCATTCCCATTTTATTATCATTACATACATATATACATATGTATATCGCCATTCTTTCAAATTCTACTTGTATTATTTGAGAGAAATGTACGAAATCAGGGGATCATATCGAATTTATTAAATAGTTATGTTTAAATCTAAATAATGTTCTAATTGTTGGTTTTATTCTCCTGAGAAGAGCATGTGTAAGTCTGAGACGATGACAATATAAACTGAGCTGAACATAGGGTCATTGCTGACGTAATGTCAGGGAGACAAAGGTAGGGTGGGTAGAAAAAGGAGGGAATCGAAACCATCTGATTCTTTCACTTATCGTGTGTTGTTGGAATATAATATTATTCGTCGGGAAATATTTGTCATCTAGTTACGTCCGTATAACGTTGCTTTCCTTCTGAACCTTCGTTAATTTCTTTAAATTTTGTATACCCTGCACCCATTGAAAATGGGTAAAAAGGGTACAATGTATATTTGCAAATGTATGTAACAGGCAGAAGGAAGCCTCTCCGACCCCATAAGGTATATATATTCTTGATAAGCATTAATAGCCGAGTCGATCTAGCGATGTCCGTCTGTCTGTCCGTCCATCCGTCCGTATCTTTCAAGTATCTTTCATTTTATAGCTATCGCCACCTCCCCGCTACCACCACAAAGCCATAAATCATGTTAGTAAACCAACTTGTGTTTCCTATCTAATTAAGCCAAACTTTAAATGACATTGTCATTTTGAGAATGCACGAATATTTTATAGTACAAAAAGAATAACTACTGAAAATTTCATTAAGATCGGTTAAGAAACTAGAAAGAAACGTGTTTTGGGTTGCAAACACGTGCAGCAGCAAGCGCAAGTTCGAAGAATTTCTGTATACATGTACACACACACATTCATGCGCGTCTGCTTTGAATTCTAATAACAGCATTGTAATTGCGATTGTATTGTTTTCTGTGCTGCTATTTTAATTCGTTTTTTTCTCATTAAGACTTATATATTGGTGTGGCTGTTGAGTAGAGGCGACAGCAAGTAATGCGGTCAGTTGCAAACCCTGCCAAGGGATCTTTAATTTTTTTTAAATTTATCTTTATTACTACTTAAGCAAAGGAGCGCGTAGCGCGAGCTGCATTTGGTGTATATAAGAACAAGCGGGTTCAGGGTATCCCCTAGTCGGGAGCTCCTGACTAGAACTTCTTACTTGTTTATTAATGAATAAGTGCACCTAAAACATTATGCGAATGTGTGCCTAGGATAACGAGGAGAGTAGAGAAGAACCCCGACAATCCGGCGAGCTAGTCAGAGCATAACTAGAGAAACTCAATGTTTCATATACTTTGGTCATCTGTATACTGTCGCTTGTCAGGAAACACACATTACACAAGGAATGAATTTACTTTTGCCTTTTATTTTCATGCCGATTCTTTTGTTTTGATTATTGGTTGTTTGGTATTTTTGTCGCTTCTGAGACCATTCAAATGAAAATTAATTTAATTGAAATTAAAAAATCTTGCAACAATAATGCACATTTTCTTTATCATATGACGAACAAAAGCGAAAAATAATTCATTCTGGACCTTACCATCTTTATTACCAATTAGTCAGCGCATTAACGTGTGAATATAGTGGAACCACATTAATGTATTATATAATCTACCGTACCTATTATAAAATGATTAGAATCCATAAAATAACCAAACATTGAGTTCATGAATAAAAAATAAAGATATGTGGATGACAAACATTAAAGCTTAAATATTTTAAGCAATATAACATGGGCAAATGCACGGACTTACTTCTGCCGGATCGGCGTCCAATAATCAGATAAGAAATTAAATAATGTGTAATAGCCACTGGAACTTCCGGTAAGTGAGGAAAAAATTAAGAATTGATCATTTTCGGTGAAATTAGAATGTTCTTCAAAAATCGACAATTCTAGCAGTCGGTAGATCTTTTCGGGCTGGGTTGAACAACCAGCTAGCGTCTTTAATAAATAAGTTCTTTCACTCTGTATTCGTGTTTTTGGAAACTGGATCACTCGTTCAAGTCCAAATTGCCACTCATCAATGGAACCCCACCTAAAAGCAGGGCAAATATAAAGATTTGCTACCCTGAAATACAAAAAGTGTTATTGTATAGAAAACAGAATTGCAGATATACTAACGGATTTTGTAAATTTGGGTTGTCCGTGTTTTGCCAGACTTTTAATGCATTCTTAGCTTCTTTAATACATGGAGGAAAACCTGAACGACACAAAAATCTTTTAGTTAATGAGCGTAAGTCTTTTTTCCAGTTATCTTCTGTTTCAATTTCAGCTCCTAATTCTTCATATAAAGGCGTTAGAAGTGTTAAAACATATTCCTGGAATTAACTATGTTATTAAATTTTATTTAATAAGATGGTGAATACTTGCCTCAAATTTTTTATGAACCTCTGACATATCAATACGCCGACCAATTTGATCAATGAATGTGAAGACCGGATTCCATATGATATGATTTCGCTCGAATTTCATAAATAATGTCATGTTGAAGGCAGTAGCAAAACCTAAATCACCAGCGTATGCGAGGTTCCAAGCATCATGTAATAGTTTTGCCCTAAAAATGTTGAAAGTCTCAGTACAAATCGCCATACATTGAGAATGTAAGAATCTAGTATTTCATAAATAGTGGTCTTAAAAACTTGAAAAATTTTATTAAAACAATTAAGAGGTTCTAGTCGGGAACTCCCGACTAGGGGATACCCTGAACCCTCTTTTCCAACATCAAATGCAGCTCCCGCTACGCGCTAGTTTGCTTTAGTAGTAATAAAGATACATTTTAAAAAAATTAAAGATCCCTTGGCAGGGTTCCAACTCGCAACTGGCCGCTTTACTTGGTGCCGCCTCTACTCAACAGCCACACCAGCCAAAAAAAAAATACTTCCCTCGGTAGGGTTCGAAATTGCAACAGACCGCACTACCTGCCGCCGCCATTACCCAACAGCCACACCAATTATTGAGTCTTGATGAGAAAAAAATGAATTGAAATATCAGCACAGAAAACAATACAATCTTAGCTAAGGCGGCACGTTGCTACTCCGGCGAAGCCGCCAGCAGATAAGTATATAAATGTGTCTTTATGTAAAGCAACGGAAACGTTGCTGCTGGGCATAAAACTATATGCACATAGTACCTTATGTATACGGTCAAAGCCTGAAAGTTATGCTGACTAGGCTCTGGCCGTTGCCCGCTACATTCAAATGCGATCATATTTCGGTGCACTCGAAATGAGTTGGGTACTTCAGTTTTATTTACGTCAACGATAAAGTGTAGCTGTTTGGTTTATGTTTATGAAATTATGTATTGCTGTTAAATTATTGCTAGGTACAGTGTACCCTCGATATATGGGCATATTACATCTCCCTCCTTTTGAAAAATAACGTAACCTAGTGGTTATTTTTTTGTTAAATAATAATATTAAAAAAATTTTTTTTTAAATTTATTTTTCTTAGTATTAGTTTTAATATATATTTATGTGTTTTGTATATTTTTATACCATGAACCCATTAAAAATGGGTATTGTATTTGTGCAAATGTATGTAACAGGCAGAAGGAAGCATCTCCGACCCCATAAAGTATATACATATATTCTTAATCAGCATCATTAGCCGAGTCGAACTAGCCATGTCCGCCTGTCTGTCTGTCCGTCCGTCCGTCTGTCCGTATGTATGAACGCAAGGATATCAGAACCTATAAGCGCTAAAGACTTTTAGAGAAATTTTAGCTGTAGGTCCTCCTAATGCCCGCGCAGATCGAGTTTGTTTCCGATATTCGATAACTTGCCCCGTTTCCAAGTAATCGATAAAAATCGATATCGAAATCTTGTTTTCTGAGCAATTTCGTCAAATAATAGGAGCTAGAGTCACCAAACTTGACATGTAGCTTCTAGAATAGTATATATATATATCAAGTATCTTTCATTGTATACCTATCGCCACCTCCCCGCTACCACCGAAAAGCTAAAAATCAAGTTAATTTTCCAACTTGTATTGCCCATCAGTTTAAGCCACAATTTATATGCAATTGAATTTTTGAGAATACACAAATATTCTTTTTTCTATTCTACATTAAGATGTACTGTCGAAAATTTCATTAGGATCGGTTAAGAAACACAAAAGTTATGCGCGCACGTGTTAGCAGCATAGGTGCTGTGCAAATTGCAAGAATTTCTGTATACATGTACACACACATACATTCATGCGCGTTTGCCTTGAATTTTATCAACAGCATTGCAATTGCGATTGTATTGTTTTCTGTGCTGTTATTTTAATTGGGTTTTTTCTCATTAAAGCTCAGTTATTGGTGTGGCCGTTGAGTAGAGGCGGCGGCAAGTGGTGCGGTTAGTTGCGAGTTCGAACCCTGCCAAGGGAACAATTTTTTTTTCTTTTCATTTTTATTTATTACTACTAAATCAAACGAGCGCGTAGCGCGATCTGCATTTGGTGTTTGAAGAAAAGGGTTCAGGATATTTCTTAGTCGGGAGCTCCCGACTATAACCTCTTACTTGTTTGTCATAGAATGTTGGCGATAAAATAATATTAATTCGTGGTTTAAATTGGTTTAATTAATTTACTTATTTGATTTATGGTGATTGGGCTGACAGGGGGTGGTGGCTACAAAATAGAAGATGCTTGGTCTGTATAATATAACCACGTACTGCTCGTTATTATCGAGAAATGCACAGCGGCCATCGGCGGGGATCAGCGATCAGCGACAGCTCATTGCGAAACATCCGTTGATAAATTTAATTGCCTGCACGAGGCGCCTACACTTCATTTCTTGACAACAGCGACAGCTGCGCTTTGCGGATGGAATTCTGTGGTTTAGCTTTAGCTTTTACATTCTTTGTAATTTATTCTTAATTTGAAAACGAACCTGCCCAATAATAAATAAATTCAATAAACTCATCTGTTTCATTGATTTATTGAAACCTTAATAATAAATAACTAATTGGCGGCCAACTAAGAAATAAAAAAAAAACGTTAACCGGCGAATAAAGAGGAGCCAGTAAGAGGTTCTAGTCGGGAGCTCCCGACTAAGGGATACCCTGAACTCTCTTATTCCAACAGCAAATGCAGCTCGGGATACGCGCCCGTTCGCTTTAGTATTAATAAAGAAAAATTAAAATAAAAAAAGTTCCCTTGGCAGGGTTCGGACTCGTAACTGACCGCATTACTTGCTGCCGCCTCTACTCGACAGCCGTACCAACCAAAAAAAGGAATTTGTTTCCTCAGTAGGTTTCGAACTTCCAACATACCGCATTATATGCCGCCGCTTCTACCCAAAAGCCAATAATTGAGTCTCAATGAGAAAAAAACAAATTAATATAGCAGCACAAAATACAATACAATCGGAATTGCAATGCTGTCAAAGCACATAAATGTGTGGGTGTAGGTTTATACAGAAATTCTTGGAATTTGCGCTTGCTGCCGCTGATACAAGGAAAGTCAAAACAAGTTTTCATTTGTGTTTCTTAACCGATCTTGATGAAATTTTCTGCAGTACATCTTATTGTGTTATAGAATATTTGTGTATTCTCAAAAAGTAAATTGCAATTAAATTGTGGCGTATATTGCTGGGCAGCAAAAATTGGTTTATTTACTTGATTTATAGCTATGAGGTAGTAGCGGGGAGGTAGTGATAGCTATAAATTGAAAGATACTTGATGTATATATACTATTCTACAAGCTTATTATTTATCTATATTGCTCAAGTTATCGAATATCGGAAAATAAACTCGATCTGCGCGGGCACTAGAAGGACCTACAGATAAAATTTCAATAAAAATGTCTCTGGCTCTTATAGGTTCTGAGATTCTTGCGTTCATACGTACGGATAGACGGACAGACGGACGGACGGACGGACGGACGGGCGGATGGACGGACGGACGGACGGACGGACGGACAGACAGACGGTCATAACTAGATAGACTCGGCTACATACATTTGCACAAATTCATTATATCCTTTTACCCATTTTTAATGGGTTCATTGTATAAAAAGAATACGTCAAACGTATAAAAGTGCAGCAACAAAGAAAAAGGAAAACATAGATATACCCGACGCGGATCATAGCAAAATATCATGCATTCCATAATAAAAACACATTATCATGTGAGTTGCTCAACCAGATTAATTTATATCGCCAAAACCTTGTCGCTACATCTGAATGTGTATAAGATTCACTTTCAAGAAAAAAGAAGGCAAAAGATAAAGTAAGTAAGAACAATGGAAAAACATTTATTTAAGACGAGTGCATTTTGTTACAATCCCAACAGATAGCATTATTGTTTTTCCGGTCAGCGGTTAATTAATGATTCGATTTTCTCAGTATGTGTTAAGTTGCTTGTGATAATATATGAGCCTTATAGCCTTTCTCCACTGGGCTTAAAAATGTCACATTTTCAAGTTTTACATATTGGTGTTCCACCGGTTTTCGGTAACATGTGAGTGGCAAAAGTACTGTTTCTTTAAATAAACAGCTGATCGAGTTGCTTTAATTTACATAAGCGACGCACAGATTTCCTTCCAAAAGTCAAATAATACGGCCCCGAAGTAGGGGCTCTGTTTAATTGACTCTTTGCGAGATTTGGCCAACTTTAAATGTTAAAAACGGTGGGATTATTAAAATTTAAAATTATAATTTAAAGTTACCGCTTGCCTTCGTTGCAATATCAGCTGGTTTATGTTTACATTTTTCACAACATCGATAGAAATCTCGATTAATCATCGCAAAATACACGAAAAGTTCGGGGCGAATTTACACATTTTTAAAAAATGTGACATTTTTAAAAATGTGTGAAATGTGTTTTCTTATGGGGAAACGTACAGGCCGCATTTTACACATCTTGCAAAAATGTGACATTTTCAGAAATGTGTTCAGTGGGCAGAGGCTATAACACATGAAATTAACGGTGACTCAAGTGTCTCCTTGCGTTTGCAATAAGAAATTAGCGAAAATGCGACTATGGACCCCCAATAGGTGTGCTTAATAATAGACGCAGCGCTTTTCGTTGCATTGATAGCTCCAACCGAAGCTTATAATCAGAGAGAGGCCGTTCTGAGAAACGATTTCGCGCAACAAATTAGTGAGTTGACACTATAACTTAAATTCTCGCATGTGGCAACCTCTCAAATTAAGGACGAAATCTAACGTATCGAGCCTCTAGGCTCTAAATGTAATAAATAAGTGCACTTTCTGTAGTTATTATGAAAGGCTAAAGGATTACTCTGCATGTTCCACTCAAACGAATTGATAACTGTCAAGCTGATAATAACGAATTAGAGTACCAAAGGTGTTAATAGTACCCTGTTCTCTACCCATCCTACTTCGGCGGCACCAATAAGCTGTCTTGGGACGCCCCTATTTCAAGATCACTTTCGTTCTAAAAGTTATGCGTGATAGTTTTCATGTCGTACCCGTCAAAGAAATTAAACGTTTATATAATCAATTAACATCTGATAAAGTATTCATTCGTTTCTTTCATTGCAATATCTTGTAACTAACCGAGACTTCATATCATTATCAATTGACTATAGCAAAAAAACAAAAACGAGA